CAACATCATCAGCAGCATCATCGTCAGCAGCATAATCTTCATCTTCATCATCATCGTCATCGTCATCATCAGCATCAGCATCATCAGCATCAGCATCATCATCAGCGTCATCATCCTCATCATCATCAGCATCAGCATCATCATCATCCTCATCCTCGTCATCATCATCATCTTCATCGTCATCATCAGCATCATCAGCATCATCAGCATCATCAGCATCATCATCATCAACTTTATCATCAAAAACATCATCACCAGCATCATAATCATCATCAGCATCCTCCTCCTCATCCTCCTCATCCTCATCCTCATCATCAACAACATCATCATCATCATCATCATCATCATCATCATCATCATCATCATCATCATCAGCAACATCATTATCATTTTCATCATCCTCATCATGATCATCATCAGCAGCATCATCATCCTCATCCTCCTCATCATCATCGTCATCATCATCATATTCATCGTCATCATCATTAGCATCATCAGCATCACCAACATCATCATCATCAGCATCATCATCAGCATCATCCTCCTCCTCCTCATCATCATCATCAGCATCATCAGCATCATCAGCATGAAAATCATTACTTTCATGTTCCTCATCATCAGCATCATCATCATCCTTATCATCAGCATCATCATCTTCAACGTGAGCATTATCAGCATCATCATAAGCATCATCAGCATCAGCATCATCAGCATCATCATCCTCAGCATCATCAACAACAGCATCATCATCACCATCATCGTCATCATCAGCATCCTCCTCCTCCTTCTCATCAGCATCATCATCGTCATCATCATCTTCATCATCAGCAGCAGCATCAGCATCATCGCCATCAGCATCATCATCGTCATCATCATCAGCATCATCATCCTCATCGTCCTCATCGTCATCATCAGCATCAACATCATCCTGATGCTCCTCCTCCTCATCATCATCATCACCAATTTGATCATCTTCAACATCAACATCATCAGCATAATCAGCATGATCTTCATCGTCATCATAATCATCATCAGCATCATCATCAGCATCACCATCACCATCCTCCTCCTCCTCGTCATCATCATCTTCGTCATCGTCATCATCAGCATCAGCATCAGCATCATCAGCATCAGCATCATCATCATCTTCATCATCGCCATCATCATCATCAGCATCATCATCAGCATCATCATCATCGTCATCATCATCGTCATCATCAGCATCATCAGCATCATCATCATCACCATCAGTATCATCCTGATCATCATCAACATCATCAGCATCATCATCATCCGCATCCTCGTCATCATCATCATCTTCTTCATCGTCATCATCAACATCCTCATCAGCATCGGCGTCATGATCATCATCATCAACAAGATCATCATCAAACATCATCATCAGCAGCATCATCAGCATCCTTCTCCAATTTCTCCTTATAACCCTCCTCATCATCAACATCATCATCAGCAGCATCATCATCAGCATCAGAATCAGCAACATCATTATCATCATCATCATCAGCAGCATCATCAGCATCAGCATCAGCATCATCATCAGCATAATCATCGTCAGCATGACCGTCTTCATCGTCATCATCATCAGCATCATTATCAGCATCATCAACATTATCATCATCAGCATCATCAGCATCCTCCTCCTCATCCTCATCTTCATCATCATCAGCATCATCATCAGCATCATCATCAGCATCATCAGCATTAGCATCATCATCTTCATCATCATCCTCATCATCATCAGCATCATCATCCTCATCATCAGCACCATCATCTTCACCTTCATCGTCATCGTCATCAGCAGCATCAGCATCAGCATCAGCATCATCAGCATCATCTTCATGCTTATCATCGACAGCATCATCATCAGCATCATCAGCATCCTCCTCCTCCTTCTCATCATCATCATCATCATCATCATCGTCATCATCATTTTCATCATCAGCATCATCATCAGCATCATCAGCATCAGCATCATCAGCATCATCAGCATAATCAGCATCATCTTCATCATCTTCATCATCAGCATCATCATCATCATGCTCCTCACAATCATCATCAGCATCATCAGCATAAGCATGATCATCTTCATCGTCATCAGAATCCTCATCATCATCACTATCATCATCTTCATCGTCATCATCATCGTCATTATCATCAGCATCATCAGCACCAGCATCATCAGCCTCATCAACATCCTCATCATGATCATCATCATCCGCAGCATCATCATCATCGACATCCTCCTCCTCCGCATCCTGGGGCACTGAGGCACTGATTGCATGAAGGTCGCACGGACGCTGCCAACCCGCCGTGGGGCCGGTCGGCCATGGGGGGATGATCAAATTAGGAGCCAGGCGATCCCTGGTGAGGGAGGGCACTGGCAGGTGTGCCACGGCGGACTCGAGGTTGCTGGTAACGCAGCCGCTCTGGACCTAGCCATGGTTGCCGTCGGTCGGTGTTGGGACACTCTCGACAGTGT